GTGTGCCTTATACATAACTAACAAAATATTATAATCAACTAAATCATAGAATTTTAATAACCTCAATTTACAAAACAATATATTGGAAATTTCACTTTCAAAACAAAATACATTTCCAATCATCAAATGAATGTACATTTGTAAGAACTGTTTGAACACTGATGAGCTAGGAATAAATCACTGTGAGGAATGTAAATCAAGAAATTGACCTTTTCATTTCAGGGTTATGTTTTGTGCAGACCGTACATTAGTGCTGTAAAAAATATTCACATTTTTTTTTTTTATTATACTCCCAAACTCAAAAGACACAAAAACAGTATAGGTTAGGGGGTTGGTGCACTAGTTACATTGTGACTGTCCGTTCATTGTGCCTGAAGTACCAGTTCATGTGTGTGAACAAATGAAAAATACAGTGAAACCGAAGGCCTCACATCCTCATGAAAACTGTGCTAAATGCTTAAGATTTTTGTGAAGTGTTTTAAGAGGAGAGCAGGAATTTAAGGGGGTGAGAAAAACCGTAAAATGCCATGATCTGTCTTTCTCCAACACCTTTGGTAAATAATAATACCGGAAACAAGTGATTTTAACCAGACTTAAGCTTCTGACAATCAATAACAAGGTATTCCTTTTACTGCATTTTAAATTTTACTGAAAAGAAAAAGAAAATAGAAAAAGAAGAAAGGAAAAATATTATTTAATGTAAAAGAGAGAAAACAAGATAGATAACCAAATAATGGGAAGATTACACAAGGACAAATATGAGAGGTGTAGATCTATTCACACATGGATATTATTGTTATTTATTTATTTATTTATTTATTATTTATTGTATGGGTCTTTTAACTTAGGTTACAACTTTTTGCAAAGGAGAGTTGGTAAGAAATACAAAATTAAACGTAATAACCCAATGAAATCTGGTCAGTAATTTTAATTAGATTTATTTTATTTATTTTAGATTTAATTAGATCAGAGCATTAAGGTTTATCAGTATAGCTTGAGGTTTTAGACACTTTCTATAGTTGTCAAACTAAAAGTAAGATGCTATAACCTGTCTTCTTGTTATCTTAAACTAATTTCTTATCAAGCATATTTTACTTTCAGCTTTCCAGTCATCTTGGTTGGTCTGTCAACACTTTGTATATTTTAGGTAATTTTGGCAATTTTATACTTTTAAATGGTTCATTGCTTGTTGTAATGAACCATTAAGTCGTTTTTTCAAATTATTCTTAAAGAACTTTTTTATCAACTTCGTTTTTTTAGATGTGCTATTTAAATTTATTTTGTCATTGACAAATCCATGTCTGATTAAGAGGCTGCTTTATTTGACTCTAGGTTAAGAATTCAAGAAGAGAGTCTTTAGTTCATTTAAATATATATATTAAGGTATAATTTTAGGGGTGAAATTAAGAGGGAAATCCATTTTGAGGTTTCACGCTGGATCTGAAATAAAGGTTTACCGGATCATAATGATGCATCTTTTGGTGATTTGCAGTTTTCAATTTAAAAGTTTAAGTAAAAGCGCACCCTCATGCAACCACGTTTTGCAGCTTCCTGATGTTTATGTTTTACTATTGATTTTAAGAGCAGAACTGGGTAAGATATGCCTTATTAAAGATTTAAATAATAATAATAATCTAACATGATAGTTTTCTAGATCTCAAAAACCTCGAATTGCAAAAGTTTCTTGTTTCTGCAAGTTTTTCCTCCACCTCAATCAGCTCTTTCCTCATTCATCCACTTCCTTCTCTCACTGTCCTATCCAGCCAAGCCCTATCATCTTCATGTTCTTCAGAATCGCTCTGTTATTATTTGTTACCCGATGAACTCAGGTAAAATCACGTGTTAGCACACCCTGCAGCTGCACCTAACCAGGTGATTCATAGGTGTGGTCGAAAGTCATTAAAAAAATATTTTTTTTTTTACTTATTTTTTTTAAACATAGCGACGTGTATTTATATACAGTTTTAATTTTATTTTTTTTTTATTTATTATTTTACCTGACATTTTTTTTAGATGATTTGAAAACAGCTCTTTGTCTGTAATGCTCCTTGTTTTCCAAGCGCGGTCTATCAATAGTTTTATAACCAACTATGATAACACATAACAGGTTACATTGGTTAAGCCCCGCCCCTCTCACCCTCTGCGGAACCTGATTGGTTAAACTATGTTGACAAATCAGAGATTACGAAAAGCTCAGGCAGTGACGTCTACTAGTGACTCTGTATTTAACGGTGTAACCACGCTAGTTTGATTGCTTTCACCCACTTTGCTCAAGGACTTTAGTAATTCAGCTCTGTTTTGTGTATTTTGGCTCTTCGGGGAAACGTTAACCGTTAGTTGTAACTCCAACACGGCTGTAATATGTAGCATGGGGAACATAAAGGGCAAAGCAGCTGTCAAAACGGTAAGAGTGGAAACACCCAACGGTTGAAATAATCTCACAGATGTAAAGCGTCGCTTTATGTGTTGGTATTAAACGTGCAAAGATGAAGCGCTACGCAAAATGCGGTTAAATAGATTTAAATATGATTTAGTGAGAAGTTTAAAGTGCCCTCATCTTTCTTTCTTCCGCTTTCAGTGTCAGACGGTGCTAATGTGTGACCCACTCATTACTCGCATGACCACGGATCAGTCCTAGTGGAAGACAGACCATCATCATCATCAGTGTGATGGAGTTAGCAGGCGGACTTAGCGTGGAGGGGAGCTCCAGTCCCCCCGCTGTGCCCTCCACCCCCCCCGCTGTGCCCTCCACCATGTCCATAGACAGGCTGCTGCCTGCTCTCCTGGAGTGCTTTGGGATCATCCTGTGCGGGTACATCGCAGGCAGGGCTAATATCATCACCTCTACTCAGGCCAAAGGTTTGGGAAACTTTGTGTCAAAGTTCGCGCTCCCCGCGCTGCTGTTTAAGAACATGGTGCTGTTGGACTTCGGTCACGTCATCTGGCCCTTCCTGTGGGGCATCCTAGTGGCCAAAGTGTCTGTGTTTTGCATCGTCGGTGTCCTCACCCTGATAGTGTCCAGTCCTGATAGTCGCTACAGCAAAGCTGGGCTCTTCTCAATATTTGCAACCCAAAGCAATGACTTTGCTTTGGGCTATCCCATAGGTAAGTGCTTTTTTTCATGTATTAATATGCAACTTGTATTAATTTATTTTTTTATTCTAAAGAGACAAGCAAACCAAAAATTCAGTCAAATAAATAAACTGATTCAAGTAAACAAAGTTAACTAGAAATTTTAGATTTCCCTGTAGGATCCTAAATTAGCCCCTAACATGATGCAGCCACTACCATGCATGGCAGTCAAAACAGTTGTTTAACATTTAAAAGCTGTGACTACTTTTAGTAAAACTCATTATTGTGGCCAAGTAACTCAGTGTTTCCATTATCTGCACATTTCCATATTTTTGCTTAAAAGGCATATGGCATGTGTGCACAGTTGTAAATGTCCCTTTGCTGGCTGCCGGTTGTATAGATGCACAGTGTAAAATTACTGAACTGATGAGGAGTTTGTTTTAAATTCTTCCCCCAAAATAAACAGGAACTGTTTGAAACTTTTCCACCAGACATTACATTAAAACAACTGATAAGCTCAAAGCAATGAAAATGGCTCAAAGCATTTTAAAGGAGCTAAAGCAGTGATATTCATGTCATTAAAGGATGTATTCTAACTCCTCACCTTTACTGCAGATGTCATTTTTAAACGCAAAATAATTGTGTAAATGAAACAATTCAAGTAAACAAAGTGTCATCTAATGTAATAATTGAGCCTATGTTTGCCTGACAGAAAAACAGAAAATACGTGGCCTTTTTTTTCTGCAGGTTGTGACTCAGTTTAACAGTTGGAGCAGGATAAACCTGTTTTCAGTTCTTATTTAAAGTTGAGGCAATATTTCCATACAATGTCAGTTTTTTTTTTGTTGCCAGTGGCTAATGCTTCTGTTTCATTTATTGCTTTCAAACTACTTCTAAAATGACATTGGTTTTGCTTTACGTTCATGGATCCTCCATGTTTCATTCTAATACATATATTGAAGTCATTGATATGGGAGAGTCGCATGAAGGGCTTTGTTCATTATGATTTTTATCATTGTCGGTAAGAATTGCTAGTAGATAAAAGGTTGAGGAAGGGAATAACTTTGAAAGTGGCTGGTAAAAATAAAAAAAGCTTTTTTTTTGCACACTTTATCACTTTTCTTTCTTATTTGAAGTTATTTTTCCCAGTTATTATCATAGTTACAATCAGTAAGCGGTATTTGTCCTTATGTCCTTCAATAGGAATGTCCCAGTCATAATGTATATCCTGAATATATAGAGACTGAAATGATTAAAATCAGACTACACATATGGAAGATTACTGTTTTTAAAGTGCAATTAACAACAGTACATCTGATCAGTATTTTGGTCAACAATATGTTTTTTTGTGTTTTTACCAAAATAACCCAAAAGGCAGTGTCAATAGATGTTTATTGTCTATTTGCACAAAGATAAGTTACTGTTTTTGCTTCATAAAAGGAACTTTTTTCTCTGGGTTTGTCTAGTTTCATGATACTTATTACTGTTCTTCTCCTTGCTGGTGTTTTGATCATACCAGGTCTAACAGTCTTTCTAAAATAAGGAATGTGCATTAACGATATCATACAGTTTTGTAAGCCATATACATTCAAAGTGACCTTACAGAAATTGGCTATACAAATTGCAAACATGATGCTAATCCTTTCTGATTTTAATAAAATAGCTTGCCATTTGAGAATAAAATGTATTCAAATGACTCCGAACCCCTGACCAATCAGCTTTATTTTATATTTATTTGGGTCTTGAATTGGGCATCATTACTTTCCACTTTAAGGTCAGCAGTGATCTTGCTCTTTTTCTTGTTAAATGTTTTTCTTTTTCTAGGCAGATGTGTACTGATGTGGATTGTGTCTTTAATATGCTGTATTCTTTACTATACTTTTTAACTAAAAATAACAGAAAATATTAGTGAAACTATTGTTTTACCTTCTTTCTTGACTCATATGCCTTAATCTCTGTCCACAGTTGAAGCCCTCTATCAAAGTACATACCCAGAGTACCTGCAGTATATCTACCTGGTTGCACCAGTGTCCCTTATGATCCTAAATCCCATCGGCTTTGCCCTATGTGAGATCCAAAAGATGAAGAACCAAGGAAACCGCCAGCAGAGAAAGCTGGTGATCGTGGGACATGTAATCTTTCAGGTCTTAAAGAATCCCATTGTATTCATGGTCATCGTAGGAATCATCGCCCACTTTGTCCTGCACCAGAGAATCCCTGCTTTCATGGCTGAGTTCATAGACGGCTTGGCCAACTCTTTTGGTGGAGCAGCTTTGTTCTATTTGGGTCTGACCATGGTGGGCCAATTAAGGAAGCTGACCAGATCCACTGTTGTGATGCTGATTTTGCTCATTACAGCAAAACTGTGAGTGGAATTTGATGTACCTTTTGAAAAACTAGTAATGCATAGTGTTTCAGGGCGAGTGAAGTAAAGTGCTTCAAATGTGTTCTTCTGTTATAACGGGTGGAATGACTCAGGAGTTTTTCAGACCACAAGTAATTACAAAACTTCATGTTGTGGTCTAGGAGCATGTAGCTTCTTGTCATCTGGTGTATATGAGTTGCTTAGCTCCCCTCACTACACTGTTTATTTATTTTTTATCAATTTATTTTTTGGACTTCAAGGTTGGTAATGCCACTCATCTGTAAAACTATGGTGGATCTTCTGGATAACACCAGCAACACCACAAACCACTCCAGCCTCTCAGATTATGCCTTTCTTTACGGCGTCTTCCCCACCGCACCAAGCGTGGCCATCTATGCTGTCTACTATAACACAGAACTAGAAGTTGTGAGTGACTTACTATATGAACAGCAGCTTTCTGCTTGTTTTTCTTGTTTGATTTTTTTCCTCTGCTCAGTAGTTTTCTGAACATGTGCTTTGTTGTGGCAGGTGACTGCTGGGATGGTGATCAGCACTTTTCTCTCAGCTCCCATAATGTACGTCTCAGCCTGGCTGCTTACCATTCACTTAATGGATCCCCAGTCTTTGATGAATTCCCTTGAGACGGTCAGCTTTAACATGAGCATAGTGAGCTTAGTGGCTCTGGTAAGTCATTGTGTAACATGCACAGACTCATTTATACACTGCTTTTCACCAGACTTTCTTCAGTTTGATCTTAGTTTTTGTAATGGATAATAAAGTTGGTTTAATAATTAGACCCAGTTTACTGTATCCATCCATTTCTCCTCTTCATCCACAGTAGCTTCCTTAAAAGACGTAATGGATATTTATAAAACATATCTTTTTAAAGCTTTAAAAGACTAACCGATCTGTCTTTAAATGGCTCAGCTGTTCAGAGGGTGAGTTGCTTCTCTGATGGTTCACTGAGTCAGACCAACTTCCCTATTCTCACTTTCAGTGCCACATTTAAGGAACTACAAATATTGCCCTCAGTGGTAAAAGCTGGCTCTGTGTTTTGCCTCTGTGTATAATTTCACTGTTCCACTGTTATCAGAAAAGGCTTATTTCCTTATTTCAATTGGTTCAAAATGGATACTTTATCTCCAATATATTAGAAGAAAGCTTTAAAACTTAGGAATTGGGAATTGCGGAAAAAAAAGAACAGATAATAAAGCCAAAGACTGAGGATGTGTGGAACTATGTACTTAAGCAAAAGGGCTGAACATTGTGACAGAATGTGATGATTTCTAAAGATTTCTGTAGATTATCGGAGGAATTCAATGTCATCACCAGACGGTAGTATGTTAGATACCTAGCAGACCAGAACCCTAGAAGGAGTTTATATGTACTATGTAATGCCACCCTGTCTCCACATTGGAGAGCGTCTGCTTCAGGTAAATGTATAAATCTAAAAATAAATACAAAAACTGGCAGCAGTAGGTAGATTATGTAATTCATACACATATTCTGACAAGCACTGGCATTAAAACTAGCTTTTTTTAAGCAACAATTACATCAGAGTGAGCTGTCTATTGTTTTTGTTAAACAATATACAGTGATTGAAACCAAAAGTCTCAATTTTCCACCACTCTGTTCTTTTTTTTTACACTACACCGCACAAAAAACAGAAAAAAGAGACCCCACAAAAAAGAGGTTTTTTCTTTAAAACTTTCTTTAGCATATGTGGTATTTGGCTCTACAATATAATTTCTAGTCAATGTACTGTAGGTGATGGACAGCATCAGAGCTGCTGCAAGTAATTCAAATAATGAAATGTAATTTGTTCATATGGCTCAGGCACTGAGGGGAACAATGGCCACTTAATCTAATTGTTGCTTTTAGACATTAATGATGTATTTTATGAGGGAAAAGTTTCCTCTTGTAGTTCAGTAATGTGATCTTATGGGGCCTGTGAATGTTTGCTACACACAGAGGGGACTAAAGTAAAGAGCAGCGTACTAGAGAAACTTTATGTACACAAATGACCCCTACAGTGGCCATGATGGCCTGGCTACTGACTGTGGGACAGGAGTTTGTCTTCCTGTGGCATGAACTTCTTTGTGTTTTCTATCATTAGCTTAGGGTGGTCCATCCCCTTAAGTAAAATTAATTAACCAAAGCTAAGCTCTTCAGGTTGTGAGTTTAACAAATATTGCTCACTTAGAGTACCTTTTGGCAAAAAGGATGCAATCCTGCATTAATGGAAGCCTCTTTCTATTTTAAAGCGGCAAAGCTCTAAAGGCTCTTTTATTTTTCAATAATTCTTGTATAAATTGGAAATTGTATAACATTTCTATGAAATGCAATGTTTTGAATCCAGCAGAAAACAATTTAGAGAGTGTAAACGTCTGTGTATAGCTAATTAGAATATTTACTTGTCCATTTGTTTCCCCCACCAGTTGTGGACAGTTGCTGTCATGTTTTTAAGTAAAAAGTTTAGACGGCTACCTCACATGTTTACAGTCAACCTGTTCCTGGCACAGGTAAGCTTGCTACTAAGCAGTCTTAGTTTTATTTGTGTTTCCCTCTGAAATAAACCAACTTAATAACAGCAGATGTCTTTAACAAAGTCTTTAACTGCATGGTTGGTGCTGTGGTTTTCTAGCTGTTAAGCTGCATTGGGATGATTCTGTGGAACTTTGTGGTGAAGGAAGACAACTTCATCGCACAGGTCTTCACTTTCACACTGCTGTCTACGTCACTCTACAGTAGTTTCCTGTGGCCAGGTAAGCCCACAGCACATTTGGGTATATGCAGAATCCTTTCCACTCCCGAATTAGAATTTGTTTGTTTTGTAATGTAAATTTTCTTTGGTTTTAGGCTTAATAGCACTCTCGATTGTTCTCTTGAAAAAGTATGAGGATCTGAAAGGAGCATCTGGTGGCCTGGTCATTGCGGGCTGGGGGTGAGTCACTTCTCATTCTCAGGAAATCCGAGCTTTATATCAAAATATGACAAAGTATGGTTTATAAAACATGATCGTACAAGCGTGTGTTTTCTCAACCTCTAGTTGATCTATACTCTATAAAGAAAACAGGCCTAAATCCATTAGGCTATAAAAGGGATGTAGAAAATGTGGCAAAAACCCATCTGTCATCCAATTAAAAAGAAAATGTGAAAAAAAAAAAAAAGATGTTGGGGAAAAAATTTAAGATGGAGGACTCCTGGTGGTGACATGTAGGGAGAGGACGCACATGTGGAGGATTCCGTTTAAACTTTATTCATCATTGGTTTTTGAGTTTTTATTTCCCAGCCAAAATTTCAGCATTATCCCCTTTGCTTGTTTGCATTTGCAATGAAATGAGCAACTCTAAAGGTTCTAAAACATCCAACACTGTGCAAACTCCGGCAACACCTGCAGCTGGGCAGCTAGCATCATTTGCACCTATCAACCAAACACCTGAAAAGACGGCTGTAACTCCTGCAACACCTGTAACTATGGACCAACTGTCACCTTAATTTGCAAACCAGAGAGCCTTGCTCAGGGAGGACATTTTTTTTCTCTAATTCAAAACACGGTTAGACCAATACAAGGTTCCCTGGATTTACTGCAGTCAATTATCAACTCATTCTAGAGCCGTCTTACCACTGTGAAGTTGTTACACTTCTGTATTTGTTCAAATACATGCTTTGTGTCACTCGTGCTCAATCGAAAAAATAAATAAATATGTATATATACATACTTAAAGATAAAATCCTTTCACAGGATCCCTTGTTTGGTGACATCTATGCTGCTGCTCTTTGGTGAAAAAAGGCCTGACGCTATTGATTTCTCCTTCTTCTATGGGAAACTACAGGTACAAAAGGCAGAAACAAATACGTAATAATTTTTTTGTAATTATAGCAATTTTCATGAGCTCTCAATGTTGTTTGTTAGATAATCTGCACCACAGTAGTGATCAGCTTCAGCATGCTTCTGGGAGGAGCCTCTTTGGTGTGTCTCAGCAGAGGAAGCTGGGCCCAAGATGAACAAAACCAGGCAGAAAACTCTTCATCTGAAGCTACACAGGATCAGGTGACCGAGGCAGAACCAGATGCTCGGACTCTCATAGAGGCAGGAAATGGAGCCGGAGGAGGAGGTACTTTCTATTGTGAAAAGGTTTACAATTCTTTATTTATACAAGTCATCATTTAAATGTCTGAATGGCTACTTGCCATTGTCCCAGCAGGTAGATTAAGTGCTATGACTGAAAATATGTAAACAGTCCCCTGACCATTAATGGAAAGCAAATGGCCAAAAATATAGATATGATGGGTACTAATTGAATCCAATCCATTAACAAACAAAAAAAAGAAAAAAAAAAGCAGTTTGATTATTTTATCATCATCTGCCATGCAGTATTTGAGCATATGACATTTTGGTTGCTATGTATTTAAATCAAGTTCAGTGAACACAAAGATAGGACAAACATTATGATTGTAGTAAAGGAGAGAGCAGGGAGGAAAATTATTCATCACATAAGCAAATATTTAACAATATTGTCATGTTTTTTAGTACCATGGAGCCTTACAGTGTTTGTTTTTTCAATGCAAAGTAGTTCATGATGGTGAAGTAGAAGAGGGACTGTTTTCATATAAAACGTATGGCAGTTGTGTTAAACCCTCTTTACTCTAAAGCTCCTAAATAAATGAAAACTTGCTCCTAGCCATCATATCTCCCTGTGGACCACAAAACCATAGTCGAGGATGAAGTTGTGAAGAAAATTAAAGCAGGGTTCACAACAGAGGGCATAAATCACTTTCCTAAAAATATATAAATTAAATTTTTTTGTGTGTGTTTTGGACGGTTAAACAGGAAAGATGTCTGGTTGCTGTAAATACTGTTTGTACTCTGTCTTGTTAGTAATGCAGACATGAATAGAAAAATTTGTTGTGTTTTGATTGCTCTATCAGAGTGTGTCAGATGTGCCTGTGCTGTAGCCACGCCCATGCCTGACATGATCATCAGCACCAATATGAACAACACCCCAGCATCACTCTCAGGTATTTTGTACTGACTATTTTAAATGCACCAGCTCTCCACAGGGAGGCATTTCAGACCTAAATATAATATTTCTTATATATTTTATGAACTGTTAATGCACATTTAGGGCAGCCTTCTCTAGTGAGTGGCAATGACAGATTATGTTCCTATGCTGCCCTCTGCAGGTCAGTGTGAAAATGGTTGTGCATCAACAGACTGCCTCCTTGCTCGCATGGATGAGCTCCAAGAGGTTGCAGATAGGCAAGTGGTCCGACATGTGCTCCTGTGTCTCCTCCTGACAGTTTTCCTTCTGGCTGTAAGTTAAACACCCAGATCATCACAAACCAGACAAACAAATGTGAATTTTCCATCTCTTTTCAGAGGAATGCCTTAATTTTAAAACCAAAATAAAAATTCTTATTTTATTATTTTTTTTATCCATTTCTTTTGGGTCAGTAAAAAAGTAACTGGTTACTAGTTAGTAGTGTTTCAGTCACAGAAATAAAAATAGGATTTAAACTTGGTAAAATGGAACATTTGACTCGGATTATGGGATTCCTTTCAGCCGGATCTGTATACATATCTGTACCAGTTACAGTAAGTGCTCAGCAGATTTTTAACATTTGTCATGTTCTCTATATAACAGAACTTTTCCAGCTGTCTGTGGTTGCTTTACAACAACCTGCATGGGAGACTCTACTTGGAGCTTCAGTTCTTCTGTGCCATAGCCAACTATGGACAGGTTAGTCTCATCCATAAAGAGTAAATCTGTCAATCATGTAGATTGATTCTCTCATAGAAGAAATAATACTGCTTCTTGTTGTTAACAGGGATTTATCTCCTTTGCTCTTTTTGGGCTGGACAAGCATTTTATTTTACCACCATTGAAGAGGTAATGTATACAATAATGCCTTTTTTAGTATTTTTTATTTATTCTTTTGAAGAAAGTTGCCCTTCTTATATTAAGCAGAAGTTTCCAACTAATGTAAGACTTTAATGAATTAGTTTGAAAGATTCTTTAAACAGGTTTGAGTGATTTTATTTATTTATTTTTTAACATACCCCTGTACAGATGAAAAGAAAGATGTTTCCTCTAAACCTTACAGGCTCAAAATTATTCACATACTAAAATATATACATACACTATATACTTCACGCTTTGTAGCCATCCATGATGTACTGGAATAATCTCTTCTGATATTTTGCTGCTGTCTTTATCAAAAATGTTGTAAATTATTTCAATTGGTCAGTTTTATAGTGCAGCTATTAGTTTTTAATGGAGTTCACATCTTGGCTTAAACAGACCTAGTCACATATAAAACTACTTAAATAAGCTTATATTAACAAGTGTCTTTTTTTTTATTTCCAAATTAGACTATGTAAGCCAAGCTTTCATCCTCAGCATTTACTTGGTCCTTTTTGAGCATGAAAACAATTTTTTGCACTGGGACTGATGATAATATATAAATATTGCTGTGCACCATCTGTCAGCAGTACCTACTCATGCATCCATCAACCTAAAAACATTTTCTGAATCCTCCCAAAGCATTTCCCCCCACTTCATTAAACACCAACATCAACCTTGCATTCCAAGTGCTTCTTCTGTCTTATCCCTCTTGGCATCCATTATTGTTTTCTACTTTTTTTACACTTGATCTTTTTCACACCTTTGCTGGGAATTTCCAACTCACTTGGCTCCATCACTTTCTTGTTTACTCATCATACCTCCAATTACTGTAGGTAGTCCTGTTATGGTAAATTCACCAAAATCATTCACCGTTTTTTTTAACAGATGGAGCAAGGAAACTGACTAAAACACAGAACATTTAATAATTTGTATGCAGAGTATGTAACTAGACCCCTTTTTAATTTAACTGTATTTCATTTACACTAAAAGTGGTTTTGATGCATGTCTTGAATTGTTTTCCTGTTGAAATGATCTGATTGATTGATCTCAAATAATAAGTTAAATGCAGTGGTAGACAAATTTTTATTCATAGTCAATGTTTTATTTATTATAAGTAAATGTTACTCAAATATCTACTCAAAGTATTAAAGTATTCACTTTTGAAAATACTTAAGTATTCAAAAGTACTCAACTATTCAAAAATGCTAATGATTTTTCCTCCTAATATCTGTACATTTCTGTATTAACTGATAAATTCAAAGAACCTTGTAACTTTAAGAAAACTATGTGATGTATTGATGCATAGAACTACTCTGCTACAGATTCTACACCACTTGTAACAAAGGATAAAAATGCCACAAAGAACAGCTATTTTGATTATTATTAAAAAAAATAATAATAATTAAGTTTTATCATGACTCTCCTCACACTTTCACTATGGAATAGAAGTTTAAGGTTGAATCCATTACCACAAAGAAACCACAACTTTGATTTGGGAACACTTCCTACTGAACAACTTGGCCACATGGTAACAACTTGAGGCTTGATATTACCAATATGTCTGCATTGAGTTTATCACATTTGTGGAACATCATTAAATATCTTAAACAGTGGTGTCCAAATTCAGTCCAAAGGGCTACTATCTTGCATGCTGAAACTGCATTTCAAGAAAGAAAAAGAGCAACAGTGGATTACAAAGCTAAGCTGAGCCAAAAGGAACAAGGAACTAGCAGTATGTAGTGGAGTAGAAAGTACAATATTTCACTTTGAAAAGTAGTGGAGTGAAAGTTATAAGACCCAAAAAACAAAAAATGTACTCAAATAAAGATAGTCAAAAAAAATAAATTAAGTACAATAATCAAGTAAATTTACGTTACTTCCCACCACTTGTTAAATGTTACAAGTAATGCACCTAGTTCATTCTTCTGCCCACTTTGTTAGATGCACCATTATCACAAGGAGCTAGCTGGGCCCTCAGCATGATGCTACCGCTATCGTACTTTACAGTTGGAAAGAGGTTTTGGTTTAAAAGCTTCATCTTGACCTCTCTAAACATACTTCTTGAAATTAGGACCTTGTAGATTAAACGTAGTCCTGTCTGACCATAAATGTAAAAAGTTGATAAATAAATAAAAAAACAGCCAATTGGATCTAAAGGGGCTGAATTTGAAGCCGGTGACACTATATATCTGAATAAATAACTCTGGCTCCCCATAGATGGTAACACAGCATCTTCATGTTGATGACAGAGCCAGCTTCTGTGGTTTCTGAACATCCTGACCAATGGTGATAATTTCAGTGGGAGGGTTAAAATTTTAAAACAATCTCTTAGGATAATGGAGATTCAAGATTATTTTGCATGACTTATTTCTTCTATTAAAAAAATGTGCCTATTTTTCAAAGACTCAATGTATCTTCCAGTGTTTGGTGTGATAGTTTAAAATGAGCATGATTGTTTTGTAAGTTGGGGTGCTTGTATTTGATGCCAGAGAAAACAAACAATAATATACAGTNTTACACTAAAAGTGGTTTTGATGCATGTCTTGAATTGTTTTCCTGTTGAAATGATCTGATTGATTGATCTCAAATAATAAGTTAAATGCAGTGGTGAACAAAATACTCAACAATTTTACTTGAGTAGAAGTATTCATACTCGTAGTCAAGTTTTTTATTTACTACAAGTAAAGGTTACTCGCTCAAATATCTACTCAAAGTATTAAAGTACTCACTTTTGAAAATACTTCACTTTTCAAAAGTTCTTTTATCTAAAAGTGCTCAACAATTCAAAAACGCAAATTGTTTTTTTCCCCCTAATATCTGTACATTTCTGTATTAACTGAGTAATTTAAAGAACCTTATAACTTTCAGAAACTACTTGATGTATTGTAGCGTAGCACTACTCTGCAACAGATTCTACACTACTTGTAACAAAGGATAAAAATGCCACAAAAAAGAACAGCTATTTTGATTATTATTTTAAAAAAAAACAAAAAAAAAGTTTTATCATGACTCTCCTCACACTTTCACTATGGAATAGAAGGTTAAGGTTGAATCTATTACCACAAAGAAACCACAACTTTGATTTGAGAACTCTTCCTATTGAACAACTTGGCCACATGGCAACAACTCGGGGCTTGATATTACCAATATGTCTGCCTTGAGTTTATCACATTTGTGGAACCTCATTAAATATCTTAAACAGTGGTGTCCAAATTCAGTCCAAAGGGCTACTATCTTGCATGCTGAAACTGCATCTTAAGAAAGAAAAAGAGCAACAGTGGATTACAAAGCTAAGCTGAGCCAAAGGAACAAGGAACTAGCAGCATGTAGTGTAGTAGAAAGTACAATATTTCACTTTGAAAAGTAGTGGAGTGAAAGTTTATACGTTCCCAAAAACCAAAAAATTACTCAAAAATTACTCAGTGTTTGGTGTGATAGTTTAAAATGAGCATGATTGTTTTGTAAGTTAGGGTGCTTGTACTTGATGCCAGAGAAAACAAACAATAATATACAGTCATTGACGATCACTGATTGCCAAAGTTATATAGGAAAAAAAAACCTTTAAAGTAGAAAGATTAAGTAAATGTAAATATATCAATGTTTAAAACTTGAATTTCTTTAGAAAGTTTAATAAGTGATGTTTTAATAAAAAGATGAGCCCATGTATTTATCTTTTTAACTGCATTTACAAAAGCACATGAACGTTTAAGAAAAATGCTTGAAATAAAACCGCCAATCAGGTAACATATCATTTAGATNATGAACGTTTAAGAAAAATGCTTGAAATAAAACCGCCAATCAGGTAACATATCATTTAGATGAACCTATTCCAAAAGTATTCATAACAATGTTGGTATTTCAGTGTATATTTATATAATTTACAGTAGCTCTACTTCTCTACTTCAGTGAAGTGTGGGGATATAGGGGATACTAAGGGGATATACATTGACCAGTTCAATGTTTTTCCATGGTGTTATCATTTACCTTGTCTGCCATGAAGTCGGGGTACCCATAAATGTTTTTTTTTAGTCTAATGAACACCCAAAAATCTGCACAGACTTCCCTGTAAATCTTAGCATCTACTTTTCAAACAAGTAGTTGCTACGTTTGTGTTGAATCTGTCCTGTGGCGGCTTTTAAATTGTACCATCCAGGGAGTTTCCGAGGGCAGCATTAGAGAGGAGAGCAAAGGAGCACTAGACAAACAAAATTTACAAAATTTGGTCTTATGCTTAAACAGTATTTTTCTGCATTTTAATCTTATTTCAAATATTTTTTTCAGAGGCTTGCAAGATAAGTAGTGCTAATGTAAATTTAGTGGTCCCATCCAGGCCAAAACAAAATTGATTTAAAGGCCCAAAAATTACTACAGACATTCTTGCCACTGATATATGTATATCATCTGATCATCTGATGGGAATGGTCTTATGTGTGTATTATGTGTACATTAGGAGGCTGCCTTTAAATTTTTTTTTTTATTCTTTTAATTGTTACTTAGGTTATACAGTCGCTTATATGGGAAGAAGAAGCGGGAAGAGCCGGAGCAAGACTTACCAGATGAAATCAGGATGACCTGTCTTCAGTTCACCAAATACCACAAACAGCAGTGTTGTCATGATATTGTTAAAAAGAGAAGGTGAGAGCTGCCTTTTTCTGAGGTTGACTGGAAACCATAAATGCATGTGGTCTCTGGTGTGTGTTTATGAGACATTATTGGTGGTTCTCTTCAAATCCCAGTAAAAGCATCCCTAAATACTGATTCTCAGACAGTGCTTCTAGAGTGTTTATGATCACTTGGCTCCTCCTGTGTCTGTTCAAAGCAGCAGCCCTACAGCTGACCGCTTTTTTTTGTTTTGTTTTTTTTTGTTCCAGGTGTGGAGTGATGACCAGGCTGGACTGTTTCCTCGGCTGTGAGATGGTGGATTGGCTTCAGCAGGTGGGCTTGGCGCAGGACCGTGGCGAGGCGGTTCTCTACGGGACACGGCTGCAGCAGGGCGGCGTGCTTCAGCACATCAAGGAGGAGTACAGCTTCGAAGATAGTCAGCTTCATTACTACTTCACTACATAAAACCAAAGCATGGCAGTTGACTCCAATTTTATTCCCAAAGAGCGACATTTCAGTCAGATGGAAACGTCTGCTTAGTTTGCACACTGTACAAAGCAACTGTGATATTTCAAATGTGTTTAATGCTTTGGTGGAGATATAAAAAAAAAAGGGATACATTAAATAAGGGGCATTTTATTTCTAACCAGCTCAGGTGTTTTATCTAACATTTCTAAAACAGATTTTCAGCTGCGTTATTTAACTTTGTCTCAGTTCAGACACTTATGTTTTCTGATCTTAGTTGCTCAGTAAGCCCTTTTAGTGGACATGATCAAAACCCCTTATTTGGAGGTGAAGCTGGATGTGCATGCACTGTAATTATTGCAGTTATCCTTGGTTGTGTGGGAATTACTTGGTTTTAAGGGGCTTACCAGGTCTGTGAAGAAGAGCACAAAATCCCTTGGTATATTTTCATTTAATATTTATGCAGTTGTTGCATATCTCTTACCACTGTGACTAATGATGCACAAAAAAGCTAAGCTTTCATTGCAGGTAAAAATGCTGCTATCAGCTGAATGTATTCACCGTAGAAACCTGTGCAGACATTGTTGCTCCTATATAAAAACCAACCATAAAAGCCACTTGTTGGTCCTCGGGCCCTCTAAAGTGCCTCTTCTTACTTAAAGTTAAAAAATGAAATAGAAATGAACCAAAAAAGGAAAGCAATACCAAAGGGATATTTTTAGGTTATGCAGACATTTTCATAACATATTTACTGATTGTCGTAACGTCTTATGAATCCTTTTATGCGATTCTGCTGCACATTATCTGCTTCATTTTATTTTTGATTGCCTGAATCTAAATAGAAATAATTCTATCCTCAAAAAATATGTTTTTGTTCAGAAACTTTTTTTTTTAAGAAGCAAGGTCAAAAGGGGCTGAAATATAAAGGCTGCTGACCCCGTCCTAAAGGGGATAAAGGGAAAATAAGTTTAACTGTCCAACATTTAACTACTCATTTTAATTTTATTACCAAATGAAATGCGGGTATTGCTGCTTAAAAATCTGCCTTCTCTCATGACTGTGGGAAGAGTTTACTAGTAATATTGCCAGTATCTGAAAATGTACTTTTGTAGTGTTTTGCATGCCATGTTAGCAGTGTTAATAAAAGTTAAATATTTACTATATTAAACTTTTTTATAGTTGGACATAAACTGGACCTGGCAACATTACAGAATGCACTGAAAGTCTTTCATTTTGCACAGTTTAAACCACTGGAACATAAGAAAATTGGTCCTTACTAATTCAGTATAATCTTACAGATGTTAAGTTTGACCATAACATGCTTGTATGTGTTAATATAAGCAATATAAGTGTTAAATATGTCATTAAAAGGGATACAAATCTTTTTTTTCGTTTTCACATTATGCATTGGTTTTGCTGTATTTCTTTTAGCACATGTTTGCAAAGTCTTCATATTTGTGCTAAATTGTGCTAAGCTCCCGGTCTGTGTTTGTGATTAAATGTCTGGTGATTTAATTTAAAGACCTGGATTGATTTAAGCTGAAGACCAACAAAGACGATCAATGTCTGAACGGACGATCTGTGATAATTGTTACCTGGTAGAAAAAAGGCTTTGAAAATGCTTGACTAACCTCCATTAAATAATAAAATGTTAATTAAAAGGTTATTGATGCCATTTTATTTAGGAATTTCAAATACAAAGATTTGTGTTAAATTGTCCTTTATTAATTTTTTTGTTGGAAGTTGTTTACAAATCCTTAATAAAACTTCCAGTTAAACCTGGCGTGTTTTTTTTCCCCCACATCTGCAATGCAATAATTCCCTTAAATTACCTAAAATATACATGTTTTTATCTATACAATTAGAACCACAGGTTTACTAAAAGTATTTGTTTTACAGTGCAGGATTTATGTTCATCTCTGTACAGTGATTTTACTTAGTTCATCCTAAAGGGCCTACAGGAAACGGCAGAGGGCTGCTGCCGTTCCCCATGTCATGCAGCCCTCAACTTTTGCTGTAAACACTCATCTCCTTCAGCACACATCCAGGAAACAGGTTCACCAACATATCAGGCTGCTCTATCCCCACCTGGAGAATATTCTCCATCTCCCCAACCTTCTCTTTCTCAAGCTGCCTCAAATCTTCGGTGATCTTCTGTCCTCTGTCCTAAAAAGAAAAAGGATATATTGTAAACAAACCTCTCTTTGGTAAAGGATAAGGTCAGATTGTTTTGTCGGAATTATTTAGGGTGTTGAACCTTGTAAGATTCCATGATGGCGGCGATCGGTTCGTGCTTGACAAACAATGGATGTTTGCGATCCGGTTTGCTCTGGAAGCGTGGCTTCTTCTTTGCTGGATCATCTGGACCAAAGCTTGGGGATGACGTCTCCCCCAGCTCGTGAACGTTCTTCACAAACACGAACGGCTTGAAAACTGACCTGTTGAGGAAAGGAGGGACAGTAAATCTTCTGTAGCTGCAGTGTTTTCTCCGGATGAGCTGCAGCCTGCCACCTCTCAGGGTCCGGAGTTGCGGTGAAGTAGTGAACCCCTGGCAGAGCCGGATCCCTGGGTACCACAGACACCATGCTCCCTGTTGTCATGAACATGCCCTCCATGTTGATCCCACTCTCTTTATCTCGCAGAATATCCATCATTGCTTCTGCGGTTATATGGCCTTGGAAAAAAAAGAAAATTACACTGAAAGGTTTTTTTCCCTGTTCCAAATTTTACCTTACCTTAGTGACTTTTAGAAAAACCAACCATTTCTCTTTTCCAGCAATCTTTTCCCCTCACAGTAGCGAGTCCCAGCAGACTCTATCCTGGCCGTGGTCAGAAAGGAGTAGACTGTAGCAAAGTTGAACTCTGATTCCCCGTCCCACCAGCCTTTGCTTCGAGCATATTCCCTCATTTCTGGATGCTCCTTGTCTATCTTTGTGGTTATTCCATACTGGTTGGAGATGTTCCGATATCCACCTGGAAAAAGGCATAAAGAGACATTTGCACCACTGAGGATACAGTTACAGGTTCTTGCAGGAAAATAAAACCGTATTCCTTAAAGATTATATCTGTGAGATGAATATAAGTGCTTGCAAGAGCATCCAGTTTTTTATCTTTTGGAACATATTTCTACTAAGCCTTTATAGAACCTTAATCAAGTAGTTTGTCATGTGTTACCTTACAAAGAGACCTTTTTTTTTTTTTTTTAAAACCACACACCTGATGGTATTCTAATGGGATTTAAGTACTGGACCAATCAAAGTTTCAAGGTTTGCACATCTAAAGGGCAAATTGTTACAAATAAAGTTCTACCACAGATTCTCATTTGTATTTAGGTCCAGACTTTGACTAGAAAATGTTAACTCATGAATACCATATAATCTAAACTATTCACCAGAGACTTTTTGCAGGTTTCTTTCCAGGACTGTTCTGTATTTACATTACCTTCCACTCTCTCTGCTGCCCAGTACTTCCCAGATGTTTCCAGCAGCCAGGCCTCTTTCCTGTCTGAGATGAGGAAGCTGTTGTGGTAGGTGAATCCACACTGATCCTCCAGACATGGGCCTCCCTGACCGTACTTCTCCAGCAGCTCGGCGATAACGTCAACAGCTTTCTCAGCCGTGTCAGCTCGTTCAAGACCAAGTCTGTAAAACAGCACAACCACAAATCCGTCTTCTACCCATTGTTTCAAAAACCTGACAAGAATGAGTTGAACACCTGTGTCATTTTACCGTCTCCATTAGATGATACAGTAGTTATACAGATCATTCAAGCTGAGCCGCGATATTGCCATCGATCTGGGAAAGTATTCACACCGCTGGAAATTTTTCACTCAGAGCTACGCAATACTCTTAGGCTGTGAGCTCCAATTTGGTCAAATTGCATTGTTTGTTAATGTCTCAATTAGATTGAAGCCAGGAATCTTGTCTTAGTTGCAGAGAGATTGTTTATCTTTGGTGTTTTTCAGCTCTTAAATTGAAAGGAACAGCAGTTCCCAGTGAATAAGGAATGCTTAATAACAACTTTTACTATTTGGAATGGTGTTATATTAAGCATTTTCTCATAGGCTGAGAAGAGTTTGCAAAGGTTGTGAATTATTGTGGACAAGCCCGTTCTTTTCAAATGTGAATAAAAGCAGACAAATATTTTGCCCACAATGACACCTCTTGCAAATCGTCTCATTTTCATTTTAGAGAAGCTTATGTCATTGCTGGTGTAGGAGCCTGAATTTATACTTTGCGATTTTCTTGGTATGCGTTGTGGTTAATGTTTTGTATTTTGTTTTTCTTGCTAAATTAACTTTTCTTGAGATTATTAAATATTTTTGGGAATTCATATTAATTTGGGGAATTTGGGTATTTAGCTATTGTTGCTATATTGTTATTGCTTTCATTACTTCTTTGGTTTAAGATTCATAAGTGTCACTTTTTAAAGATGATGCATCATGGGAGTTTGGTGGTTGTGTATCTCACAGATTGTCGCCTTTATTTTTTGTAATCATGTCTGGCACCCCTTTATCCTATCTACTCACTAAAAATTTTTTAAATGCAATTACGTCTCTGTGGATTTCTTGGACAAATCATCTCGACATCTTGTCTTTGGAAATGTTAATGGCGCAGCGAGTCAGGCCGGCTTCACTTATTTTTGAACCCTAGAGCTGGTATAAAACACACTTTCTGTTTGAATAAAAGTAGATAACCATTTGCCAGGTGTATTCACTGCTCGGGATCGGAGAATCTGCGAACAGGGCAGCTTATTTTTCTTTAACACAGTAAGAAAAAAAATAAAACAATGTTTATTTTTTCTTTCTCTTCACAATTATGCAGTACTTTGAATATTCAAATTCATCACATTTAATTGATAAAAGAAGCAAAGAAAGGGATAAGACTAAGAAAAATGTTTGCATGGTTCTAATGTACAACTACAGTAAGTTTCTAACAAAGAGCTGAAGAGATCATTCATTTTACCTGACAAGGTCCATTCCCAGCAGAGCCTCCTCACCATCAGCGCTCTCTCTGCCCCAAACTGCCTCATTCCCAATGCACACCTGATGCTCGTTTGCACCCATCTCAGCCCCCCACAACCATGCTGGCTTGCTCAGCACAACTGCATAGGTATGGGATGCCTGGTCGATCTGGATGTATGTGCACTTAAAAAAAATTTACATGAGGTTAAATAAAACATGTCTGATACTCAGTAAGTAGCAGCCATGAGAAACAGCATGTCTCCTACCTCGACCTTCTCATCTGGACCATAGTCCATGGGAGGGAAATAGACAACCTCCTGGACTTCATCACAGGGTCTGTCTGAGTTCTTCCCGAAAATGATGCGCTGCCCCTCAGTGGAAGGAGGCAGAGCCACGAAGGTGTCACAGGAGGATGGAAGCATTTCAATCACAGACTAGTTGGAAAAATTGTTACATTTATCACAGAGCCATCCTATCAACATTTAAACAAACACAATCACTTAGGAAAGGCAAACGGAGACTCCATAATACCTGGTCGGTTGTCTGGCAGCTGTCAGTATCGGTTTCTATTCTTGCTTTGCTGCAGGATTTCAGGTTAAAGCTCCAGGCGATGACACGGAAACAACACGGTCACGTGACTAAAACACGAAGTTAGGCTTAGGATCGCAGTACCTTCACGGAGCCCAGATCTAGCGGAGATTTTCATTTGAACATGTAATTAGGTTTCTGAACAATAGTAACAAACAGAGATAGCTAATAAAACAGACTGCTATAATTATAAGCTAAGATTACTTAATTAAAATTTGGTTAATATTTGATATATAAAAAAAATATATAATACATTTACATTTTAATTAATTATATTTTCCCCTGTCATACCTTATATTAAGTTGAAGATATTAAAAAAAATTATCACAAGCCATATCACCAGCCATATTGTAATGGCACGTGTTGATGACGTATTTTGTATGAGACGCTCTCTTACCCTGAAACGAACTTCATTTTAGCTTTGCGGGTTTGTTTATAACCGAAGGGAAGCTAAGCTGTTTGCGACTCCTATAGCTCAAAGTAACGAAAAGGTTTTCGTATTCTGGTGTTGAACAGCAACCATGGGGAAGTCATTTGCTAACTTTATGTGTAAAAAGGATTTTCATCCTGCTTCGAAGTCGAATATTAAAAAGGTATTCGCTGTTTTACCCTAAACGTTAGCATTATGAGGCTACATAACGTTAGCTTAGCTGTAAACGTTTCACTTAACAGCTATAATAAAGTTAAAAATAAGTACGCATTAGTTACTGGTCTGTATTTAATGATAGTGATTATAAACCGAAATTCTCTACTGATATTTGGTGTCAATTTGATGTTGTATTAGTTTTAGGAATAATGGAAGAGGTCCGTGTTACAGCAGATGATGAACATTTTCTTCGTAGCTTTTAATACAGACACTATTTGAGTCGATTTCAAAAGTAGAGAAACTATGTAACACTAAAATTATATTTCGAATTTTGTAATTACCTGATATTTATAACAGTGGCTAATCAACCATGATTATAAAAATAAATATAGGCCTAGTTGAGTTGTACATTTTGATTTATTTAATTTTTTAAAGAAATTGACCCTCCAAATTCACACTTTCATAGGTGAAATAAGAAAGTTCTTTTTTTTATAGAGTTCCTTTTCAAGTATCTGTTTTTCTTGTAGGTATGGATGGCCGAACAGAAATTAACTTTCGATAAGAAGAAGCAGGAAGATCTCATGCAAGCATATTTAAAAGAACAGGATACCTACAACAACAGGTTAGTTGTGGTCTTAAAAAAGATAAGTGGAAATAAAAACCTCCAGCTTTGTATTTCCAATACCTTGGTTTTTGCTCTTAAAATAACCTACTGCACCGTTTCTCCTTTTTTAACCTGCAGGCTGTTGATGGGAGATGATCGTGTTAAAAATGGACTCAACTTCATGTATGAAGCTCCGCCTGGAGCATCAAAAGGTAAACTATTTGCTCTGGGAAGCTCTTTGCTAAGTTATGAAATGCTTTAATGTTAAGGTAAAACTGTGTCTAATGTGTTTTCTTCTTTCTTTACTTCTCCATAACTTGCTGACCTGCAGAGGAGAAGAAAGAGGTACATAATAAAAGAAAATACCTAAAAGTTAATGTTAAAACTAAGCCAGAAACTGGTTAGCATACATATGCATGTGTTGATATACTTATGTCACTGTGTTTTCATTACTTCTAAATAAGTATTATAATCATAACCTCTGTGATACACTTTTGACAAGCAGCAGTTTAGCTAAAATCCTTCCATCAAAAATCCTACAGACTATTGTCTTCTTTGCAGTCCTATACATTTTCAGTTTATAAAGAAAATTCCTATAGGTCCTGCATATTAAAGTACTTTCTACTGGTAAAATTAAATCTTATCTGTTCAGAAAAAAAGTAATACAGAAGGGTTTTTCTTCTTAGGAAGGTGAGGAGGAGTGCAAATTTGAATGGCAGAAGGTGGCTCCTCGAGAAAAGTAAGTACTAGTTTCTGATATTTGAAATTTAAATGGTAGAGAGTCAGCATTTATAACTTTTAGAATTGATCTTGTCTTGTTTTTTTCTCCTAGGTATGCGAAAGATGACATGAATATCAGAGATCAGCCATTTGGTATCCAGGTAAGAGAGTTTTCTTATTTTAAGTAGATTCACTCAAATGATTATTCATATAATTTTATAGCAGCTAGATGTCTTGGGAAACATTTTAATAACTTCTTTTTATTATCAGGTTATACATATGTTTGTAAAGAGAAAAAAAAATTTTCGGGGTTCAACCCGGACTTAAAATTGAGGAAAAAAAAAAAAGACAATAGCAGAGTTTGAGAAGAGGCTAATGGAGTCAAATTAAAAGGGGTCCAAACCAATGACATTTTGTAGGTTCTGCTGTTATCTTTTATTTGTAAATAAGACAGTTTTAACTTTGAAGATATCTTAGAAAAGGAAACCAGTAACATTACATTTATTTTTTTCACAGTAGATGCATCCAAAACACAGACCACCCCCAAAAACCTGCACACACACAACCCTTTTCCATCGTCTGCCCTTATTCCGTTGGATCGGCTTCAGCACAGTCAAAGGCTACGTTCACACTGCAACCTGAAATGACCCAAATGCGATTTTTTTTTTGCCCATATGCGACCTGGATCTGATCTTTTCACTGCAGTCTGAACAGCACAGAACCAATTTTTTTCCAATCTGACCCAGGCCACTTGGCTATGTGGTCCTGAATCTGATACAAATCTGATCTTTTCAAATGCGACCTGTGTTTGAACGGCCAGGTCATCCGACCTGAACGGCATTAGTAACCGACTTAGGACGATATTCTGCTTCTTGCTACACAGAAGCGGCAAGAAAAGCAAATACCATGGCGGACGTTGATGCAGAGAGCAGTAATTTTTTTAACCATCTAGACAAGATCGAGGTGTTAAGGTTTTGAAAGATCGCTAGATGCTCTACAGCACAATATCCATGTCTAATTCCGTAAACACGAAGCGCGCTGGCTTGTGACGTCATTGTGTTCTCTGCTGTGCATGTGGAACACTTAAGCTGTATGAATGCAGTTCACACAGGAGATCACATACAAGTCGCATATATTTGAAAATGTGAACGGCTACGCAAAAAAAAAATCGGATTTCACACAAAAAATCGGAATTTGGCATCAAGGTCTGCAGTGTAAACGTTGCCAGAGTTACCAGGGGCAAACTGACCTGACTGAGTGTAAGTATAAAGAGCAGGAAAAGGGTGTTGGGCAGCACAGATCCTTAAGCGGTATTCATTTTTTTCCCCTCTTTCATCCTTTGACGCAGGATCGACACGAATCACTGAGAATGTCAGTTAATTATGAAAAGCAAAGATGCCTCAACTGTGCTTTGGTCCTGGTGCAGGTGCATTCTGTGCGCTTAGAATAGTCAGAACCAATACATTTTTATTTGTTAGCTTTTTATTGTGTTTTTGACAATAACCAAAGTAGAACACCTTTTTTGTGTTGTTGATTTAGGGAAAATATGACAGTTGTACACATGTCTAGTTACTACCACCTCTGCATACACATGAATAAGTCTGTTTGTTGAAGATAAAAAAAATAAATTACAGCATTATCTCTCCTGCCTTAGACTAACAAGTCATCCTCGAACTATAAATAAGAAAAAAACAACTTTTTTTTGTGCTTTTAAATTTATTTAATAGAGAGATGGTGCTTGGTTGAAGCAGGTTTACTGGGCCTTTTAGAAATAACATGAAGCCAATCTGCACTAGAATCTGAAAGCATATTTGGTATTTGTGTGCGTCGTTTTTTAAGATACACCAATTTGGCAGAGACTTGATTTAATAAATTTTCCTTTGATCGCCCCTAATAAAAAATTTTAATACCTCCTAAAAAGATAAAACTTGAAATACCCCAAGACGATTGTCTCCCAGACTTGGCAACATACTCATATCAGCGCAGAGTGTAGGAACAGAGAGAGTTCAGGGGTTTAAGCTTTGAAGTAAAGATGGACATGATCTTTTAATTATTTGATTTTGGTTTGGGTTAAAAATGTGAATTTCTTTAGAGCTTCTGCAGCACATCACACCAGCAAGAAATCAGAAAAGCCCTGATCCTAATCCTCTACTTTTTTATTTAGAAGATGGAATCACTGGAAGGAGCTAATTTATTAAAACACGCTCAGATTTTTGGAAGTTGTTTTTGTATAAAACTAAAGTCTTCACTCTGTTCTATTGTGCTTTACAGGGAGAGCTTTTCTCCTGTTCTATCACGCTATAATTAGAATATAATTGGATTGTTTCTTCTTAATCTTAATCTGACAATAAGATCAGTCAGTATTAGAGTTAACTGGATTCATTTCAATTAAATTTAGACTTTTTTTAAAAATAAAGTGTAACTGTTTGTGTTATCAAATGCTTTAAGGTGACAATTGCTGCTATGTAAATTAACTAAATATGATGCTTTGTTGGTGAAGGTGCGCAACGTGAGATGCATCAAATGTCACAAATGGGGTCATGTGAACACTGACAGAGAGTGCCCGCTGTTTGGACTGTCAGGGATCAATGCCAGCTCAGTGGCCACAGACGATGCTGCAGGTATTTAATCAAGGTTTAAATGTCCTCGAAAGATATTGTTGTTGTTTTCCTAAATAAGCATGCTTTGGAAGAATTCAGGCCACTGTAAGCTTTATTTTTACCTAAAAGATGACGACACAAGTATAGGCTGGTAGGGAAGAGTTTAGTTTGGCTGTAAGAATGAGAAGCCTGATCATGGACTAGCCTTTTTACCCTGAAGGAGCTTTTATCTGTCTGGCTTCTTGCTGCACTTTCCTCCTCGCCTCCAGCTCCAGCTTTCCTGCCTTGGGCTGATTCTGAGTTCTGCAATCAGCGAGTTGAGTTGTAGAGTAATAATGTTTACCCTAGGAGAGTCCAGTCAGTAGGGCTGATGGCGGAGTGCTGTAATGGTCCCCCTCCTGTGCCAGGAGAAAAAAAATGTAATTATTGTGTATTCTCATTCCCTTAACTGCTGCTTTGGCAGAGAATGATATTGTATGATTTGCTTAGCCGGAAGTGGAGTGAGTTGATTTGATGTCCCATTCTGTTAACAAAGCCTTCCCTGAAATTCACACCGGGGAGATATCGGACTGTATGCGTTCCCACATCAATGAGACTCTGAGGATGTGATTTGTGCCTACAGGCCCGTCGATGCACCCCTCCGAGTTAATGGCCGAGATGCGAAACAGTGGCTTTGCCCTGAAAAAATGTGTCCTTGATAGGAGTTCCACTGTTTGTGATCCATCACAGGTAATCGTCTCATCTTGGGGTGCACAAGACAACACACACACACACACACATACACAGTTGTACACCCTCAAGAGGGACAGAAATGTGTAGTTCAGTTTACTGCAGGTGTATTTATAAACCTTGAATCTTTACCAACTTTGTAGCTTTTAATCTACAAACTTCCAATCTATTTTAGAGGGATTTTAATAGAGATCAAAACAAAGGGATGAAATGGAGGTTTTTAAAAGTTTTTTTTTACAATTAAAAGCAAAGAAATTTGCCCTGTATCCCTCTTTACTCTGACATTCCTCTAGGATTCATCTCATTTATAAACAGTCTGTGATTTAATTTTGGTGAAAATCCAAATGTTCTGTGTAGGCTTCAAACAGCTTTATGACCACCAACAAATGAATCAGACAAGTCGATGAGAAAGCTGTGGAGAAATCTAAAGCACGATTATAGTATAAGACAATCTCCTAAGCTGCAACATGTCGCAGTAATGATTTAAAACTGGAGAGACTGCTGTTAGCTCAAACTGGCCAGCCGGGTTTAATTTAAAAAAAAATGGACAAGAGGCACTCCACTTGCTCAGGTGGGAAAATATGTTAACAGGACATTTCTTTTCTTAGTGGTCAAGAACCATTGATTACTGAAGTAAAACCATATTCCTGTTTGTGCTGTGGTATTTAGGTGACACTCCCCGTATTTACTGCTATAAACTTAAGCTAAGAGACACATTTTCTGTAAATGTGTGTCAATTTATCCCTTAATGTATCTAGAATATGTGTAACTATGTGGTTGTTACATCTGATGATGCTTTTGGAAGTTATCCTTACTTTTACTTAAATTCTGCTGAAATATCCACAAAAAATGTGTTTTATATTTTTTAGATTTAATCCCTACATCTTCAGTTAGATTAAAATGCTTTTACTTCCGCAGGAATATGTTGCCAGTGATGAAGAAGAGGACCCTGAGGTGGAATTTCTAAAGTCTTTAACAACGAAGCAGAAACAGAAACTGCTCAGGTGACAACAATTTAAAATTTCATTTGCCGTTTCCCTAAACCTTTGAAAATATGTGATAAATATATAATAAAAGATGAATAACAACCTTACATTTTCCCTTCAGTATAGTCCAATCAACCGTAAGCTTATATTAAAAAGATGTATTCACTATTACCGTAACCAGATTTCTTTTGGGGGGAGAAATAGATTTTGACTTTGCTGTGTTTTATTTTTTGTTAACTTTGAAAGTATTAGGTAGAATGGTTAGATTTTTTTCTAATACATATTAACTTTTCTAAAGCTTCAAATTGAACGTCTGCTTTTCTCACACATTTTACAGAAAACTTGACCGGTTGGAAAAAAAGAAGTCCAAGAAAAAGAAGAGCAAAAAACAGAAGAAGAAAAGCAAAAAAAAGCATAAGAAAAAGCAAGATAGCAGCGACAGCTCCGATAACTCCTCCAGCAGCAGTAGTGACAGCGACTCAGGTTCAGACAGTCAGGGCAAGTCCAAGGGCCAAATGAAGAAGAGGAAGAAGAAAGAAGAGTCCCGGCGGGATGACAGTGAACAGAACGAGCCAAGAGTCAAGAGTCAGAAAAAGGCCTCCTGTCACAGAAGCAGGTCATCGAGCCCCCACACTGGACAGAAGAGGGCTAAAGAGGACTCTGGAGATTATACACAAAGAAGGACAGAGAGGGGAAGGAGCAGGAGTCGCAATCGCAGCCCCGACAACAAGATCAAGCTGGAGGGAGGTCAAGAGAGAAGGAGGCACAACAGCAGGGACAGACAGGAAGTCAGCAGCTCTACGGCTGGATTGGAAAGAAGTAGAAGCCGTGATAGAGGCAGGGAGGACAGGGGTAAGGACAGACGTCACAGTGGAGACGGCGAGAGGAGCAGAAGAGGCACAGACGGAAACAAAGGCACAACAGCTGATAGGAGGAGCAGAAGCAGAGAGAGGAGAGAAGAAAGAGATGGTCGAGGAAGGAGCAGGAGCAGGGACAGGCGGGAGAGAAGCAGAGATAGAATTAAAAGGAAATATTAACATGCAAATTCAGATTTTTTTCTTCCACATTTTTAAAAGCAAAGATATGCTTTTTTTTCTTTACATGACTGTAAAATTTTGGAGTTCCTGTAGGATCCCCGTTTGAAATGTATTGTGCGCAAACAGCGCTTTCGATTTCCTCCACTAGGGGGAAGCCATGAACAGAAAATTACATTAAGCGACCCATCGCGCTCTGATGGTGTTTTAAATAAAAAGCGACACATTATTCACTGGTGCAAATAGCTCTATTTGTGAAGATTTGTTGGATTTAGTTTTTATCACGTGTCCAACAGGAAAGACGCCTTTCTGTGATCTATTCTGTGCTGTTTTTTCTTTTATTTCTCACCCATATGTAATAATTAGACGGCTGTTATTTCCTCGAAAATAAAAATACATTTGAAAAAGTAGACTCTTAATTCTTATTCTGTTATGTTGTTTACAAATCAAATAATGTTATCAGAAAATTTAGGATAAGTTATATTATTAAATAGCAGGTAACTGACATCAAATCAACTTAGAAATACATTATAGTCTTCGAAATAAAGAATTTTATTCGTTTTGATTTACTATTTGACGCTTTTTTTTTTTTTTTTTTTGCGTGGAACAATATTTTTTCCCCCATCTGGACTTGCTCTAAAAGAAAAAAAATACAACAAAGGTTGTAGATTTTATGTTGAGGTCATAAGATTATTTTATATAGTCTTTTTAGCCTATTTGTTTTTGAATTAAAAGAGCTTCAAAAATATTTTCACTCTTAAGAAATCATTTAGTTTTTAATCACTTCCCGTTGTCAAAATTATACAATGTACTTTTCAAAAAATTTTTGTGTCTGTTATTTTATGTATTTTTGATAAAAAATAAATTGAATGCCTAATGTCATGGTTTTACAATCTGGCCCTCTTCCTTTAAAAATCGCAGTTCCACAAAAGGAAATGAAAATAATTTCCCTCCCTATTGCCTTCTGCTCAATTTAACATCCTACTTAGGGGGGTAAAAAATTGAGGCTTGTCTGGGTGAGATGCTCTTCCATGATGTATTCCCAGTCCTGGATTCATGCTGTAATTATTCCCCGTCTCTCTCTCTCTTTTTTTATTCCCCCGTTTTTTTCTTTGGGAGTCGGACGCTGCACTGGGTAAGCACAAAGAAGTCAGGGAGCATCCTTGAACCTTTTCAGCGAGGGGCCACTGATATTCAAATAACACGCAGGGGCCATTTGACTGCGGCGCGCAGAAAGCATTTAAAATGCAACATTTGCATTTGACTTTTTGCCCCCTTTTTTAGTCCCTTCAGTAAAAAAAAAAAAACATTCCCATTACATTTTCCTTTAAAAAATAAAATATAGGATACAGCCATAATTCTCAGTAGCCTATTATCGATTACTATGCAAATTAAAGCAGTTAATTTGCACAATTAAAATAGAAAAAAATTAAATAAATCGTGGACTTTTGTCAGTGAAGCCCCCCGATACAGTAAAAATTAACAAAAGAAGTCTCGGAGATTAATTAGATATTTGATAAGACATGAATCCCCTAATGGTAAATACAAGACACGTGCTCCAAGTCATGATTAATACCATTTAACAAGATTTTCATTTGGCCATGAAATGTCTTTTCCGCAGCATTAAACATTAATTTATTCCATAGGGAAAACATGGGAATAAAGCATGTTTTAACAGCTGCTAAAAAAATTGTTTGTAATAAATCCTAACAAATAATAAATATAAACTCTGCATCACACGGCATGTTTTAAACATGTTTTAATTACGATAAATGAAGGTCTTATACGTGTGACTTTATACAGGTAAACATTTATATATAGATAATTATTTTTTTTTAGCAAAGAAATAAAAAAAGATGATTAACAGAAGTTTTAAAAAGCTGTGTTAACATACATATCCACAAAAGTGCGTCGAAAAGTAAAACTCCCTGATTTCCAGGATAACAACACGAAGAAAACAATCAGAGCTTATAACATTTACATGAAAAATAACACACTTTTTTTTTTAGTTTTTTTTTTTTTTTAAGTTTTGTTTTTTTTAGTCTTCAATATACAACACTGTCCAGGCAAAGTTCAAACAGGGTTTGGCGCAACCTTTTTTTGTTGGTTAATTTTTTCCCCCTCCAATATTCCTACAGTAAATTATTTTTTTCTTAAGGATGAATTTACTAAAGACAAACTCATCACGCCAGAGAAGAATATATATATATATGTATATATATTTAAATTTTTGCAGTTGCTCCTGGAAATATTTTTGTCCTCCCTTTTTTTTTTTTTATTGGACCCGTTTTCATTGTGCAGTTTATTTAATAAGCTGCTGTCGTTTTTGTTTGTTTTGGAGAATCAAGCCCTCATGGTTCATCATGAGGAGACGGATCCTTAACTGTGATTCTGGGGTTCACTCCCTCTAAAATAAGTTCTGGAGATTCGGACCTTGGGGTTTCCAGGTTACTGGTGTCGGTGTCACTGTCGCTGCCCTTTTTGCCCCCTCCGCCCGCCGTGTGCGTTTTGATGTGCTTGCTCAAATGGTCACTGCGCATAAAGCGCTTGTTGCACACCGGACAGGCGAACCGTTTCTCACCGGTGTGGGTGCGCAGGTGTCTCTGCAGCTCGTCGGACCGAGTGAACCTTTTGCCGCAGAAAAGCCAGTTGCACACAAAAGGCCGCTCGCCGGTGTGCCACCTCAAATGCGCCTTCAAGTGGGATGTTTTCCCGTAGACTTTACCGCAGCCCGGGATGTGGCAGCTGTGCAGTCCTTTCCTCCGCAGGCTGGCCCCGGCGGGCCCCAGCCGCTCGGCTTCCTGGCAGTTCGGACAGTCACATGTTGCTCTACCGGAGTACCGCCTGGAGGACCGGGATGAGCTACTTATTCCTGAAGTGCCGCCCGAGATCATGGCGTTTGCGGCGGAAGCGTCTGTGTAAGTGGGGATGACTGTCTTGAAGCCGTCCTGCGTTAACAGGTGCTGGCTGGTGGACAGAAGGTGAGACGCGGACGGGCTGATTCCGGTGGAGCTGAAGGCGGAGTGCGTCAGGGAGGAGAAGTCCGGGTTGTAGCCGCTGAGCTGGGAGTGGATGGCCTGGGGCGTCCCGGAGTGCAGCGAGGTCTGGAGGGTACCGGCCGGATTCTGCACGTCCAGCCACGAGCCGGGGTTGCCGTGGACGTCCCACCACGAGGACGCGCCGTTGGCGACGTCGCCGGAAATGGTGGAGTGGAAGCCGGACTTGTACCAGGACTCGTACGGGTGAGCCATCCCTACCCGCGGGTACAGCGTCTCCGCCGATGTGTGAACTTTGGAGATGAAGGCGGACTGGCCGGACTCCTGCGTCGTGACGCCGGTGGAGTTGGAGAACAAGCCGCTGTACTCTGTGGAAAACGCGGAGGAAGTCGGCGAGGTGGAGGCGAGGCAGAAGGCGCTGTTGCCCGCGCCGCTGGTCGGAGTCAGTCCCGTGGAGGCTCGGCTCGTCGCCACCGTGAAACCGGGCAGGCTGGAGCCCAGGTTGCAGCTGGAGGAGGATCTTTTCCAAGGATGAAATCCACCTTTGGAGAACGCACTGGAGTCTGGCAAAGTTGTCAGAGGGCTGGTGTTGCCGATTTTATTGCAGGTTGCAGCTAACATAGCAAGAGGTGTAGTTCCAAAGCGTGGTTCTTCCTGAGATGACACAGAGAAAGTTTGTTTTTGAAACACTAAGGACGATAAACTGCAAATACGAATAAACCCATTTTATCCAGAAGCCCACATAGGTTTCAGTTATGAGCAGCAGAACTCAAAGTTTCCTACACACAAAAAAAATATATAAATAAAATAAAACTACTTCAAAGTTTTTGTTTGGAGACACTTAGTTTCAAAACTTTGCTTTTTCATTATAAGGATCTGATCAAACAAGTTATAAAAAGGCGTGTTTCTGTAATCTGTGCAACTAGAAACAGTTTTATAAAGTTTCTTAAAACTAATTTCATATATGAATACCCAGAAAAACAAGTCAAATATTTAAAGGTGACAACAGAGAGAAATGTTTACCAAAAAGCAAGAATGTTTTTCTTTTCGTTTCTGGATCAAAATAACTTTTAAAGTCCAACTCACCCCAAGTATAGACGTAGCCATATCCGGGCTCTGCGCAGCGCCGAGAGTCTCCGCGGCGTCCAAGCTATATGACTCCAATGTGATTGAGATTTCACCGCGCTGTGACTCGGGTCACACGGGTTTGTTTCTCTCTCTTGGCTCGCAGCTACTCCGACACTACCTAGTTGTAGCGAGCGTCTTCTTTGAAGTACAGCTGGAGAGGACGCGCAGCCAATCTCCTGGCCGCATTCTTAACCGGGGGCTCGTGTTCAGCCAATGAGAAGCCCGACCGCAGACAGAAACACCAAAAAACCCCGCCGTCAATCAAGTGTTGCGCTGCCTCTTGCCTCAAGACTGTCACCCAAAGAAGCGATTTGATCTAATTTTTTTTTTTAATGCACGCAGTTTATTTTTACGCATTCTCACACGAAGGGCGCAATGTCGACTCTCTTTTTGATTGCAGAATTGAGTTCGCGCGTCAGATCTCCGGGAGGTAAGCGTTTCGCTCGTTTTATTATAAGCGTTTGTCCGTTCTGCTCTGTACTTCCATGATTATTTTCCATATTCAGATCATGCGCAATAGGACGTTTCAAATAATTTGGTTTAACTTGGAGATCACTTTATCAAAATAAACCGGCCGGCAGCTTGCATTGGGGAAAATAAGCTGATCCAAGAGGCTTTTATTTGTCTTATTAACTTGATAAGTTACAGTGGAAGGATAAGAGGGGGAAGGATAAAGTTTGAAGAGGGCCTGCTGTGGAACGGAATGCGTAAAACTGCATTTAAATCCAAAAAGATGTGGAGACACTCCTTAATGGGTCAGCTTTGCAATATTTTTGTCAACTCTTAGGTTGGACAGGCTTTGCGCTTTTAGGGTCAGCGCACTTGTAGGAGAGCACCTGTTAGAGACTGATCTAAAACTCTCATCTTGTTCAAATAAATAAAAAAAAAAGCAATAATATAAATAAAATGCATGCGTAAAGGACAAAGTGCGCATGCACCTGACATGCATCCCCAGTCTAACTGAGTTTGCAATTAAATATGCAAATAAGTAGCTGTGTTTCTTTTTTTTTCTTTTTTTTTTTTTTGTTGTTGTTGTTTTTTAACTATATGCTTGCAATTAACTTGTCAACAAGCACACATATAGAAGCTTGTTAAAACGCCCGGAGATAATGGCACAATGTAAAATTGACCTGCTCTGATGTGATCCATCTTTTCTCTTTTTTTTTTTTCTTCTTTTTTTTTTTAGTTTGAGGCATTTTTCGGTTGGGGGGAAAAAAAACAGCTTGACCGAAGGATGTGCATCACCGTATTCAAAAACGGGCAAATAATGCTCTATTATGTGGTGTGAATACTGCCAGTAAACACAGGCGCAATTTGTTCAAATGCTCTTCCTTTTCTCCAGCTTTAAAGCTCACATACAGCTTTGGAGGGGGTGAATAAATATCTGTCTCATCAGCAAGCGGACGCTGCCAAGATTTTTATTTTATTTTATTATAACAATCATGACAATTTTATACTTGGATGTTGTTAACTTTATTATAAAGCCAATTTGACGTTTTTTTTTTTTTTGTTTCTTTTAGAAATATATGTTTAAATGTTTTTTTTATTATTATTCTGTAATATATAATTCCATCAAACCAAATTAAAAAACACACTTAAAAATATCCTTATATTATGTCTGTTCTAAAAAGTTTTTGATCAGATTTATGAAATGTTTAATAAATAAATGCACACATTTCAGAAAGTATTAAAGGAAAAACAATGAATTAATTTATTTGCAGAATAAAGACAGCATATTTTTTTCTTTTATGGGACAAGAGGACTGAACACACTCTTTCCTTGTCACTCGAGTGAAAGCTCAGAGTTGAATCTGTAATACCGCGCTGCATTCGTGAGCACTTCTCTGTGGCAATTAGGAGCCCATTACAAGCCATTAGATTGATCAATGTACCTTAAACAATGGGAATGATTTATTTGGTCGAACAAAACGCTCTGCATCTATTGTGACGAGTCTAAGTGGGGGTGCATCCATCAACAAAAGATAAATGATTAATTCAGATCTATTCATTTCTGAATTCTTCCCTGCAAAAACGCGCGGCCCCCCTGCACTTTGCCTCGAATCCAGATTATTAGAGGCTCATTTTCTGCATGTTAAACCCAGGCAGGCTTTTCTGGATTGGGCCAGGACTCTGGTTGTGCCCACTTTAATTTGCGCGTCTGCAGAGGGAAGTTTATTTGAGGATGTTTAACTAATTGTTGCAATTTCGTGCGCTCATGTGGCTACACCTGTTCCTCTCTAAGGGGTCTGGGTAAACTGTGCGTGAAAGGATTTTGTGCTGTGAATCTGTGCTGCTTCCTATCTCACAGCTTCATCTAGTCCAGCGGAAAGTATCTTTCTTGAAGATTGTTTCCCCCCACCAAATTATTTATTTTTTCTTCATAAATCTAAATTTATTTTTCTTTGTCTATAGTCAGAAAATGTTTTTCTTTCTTTATGCATTAAGATTTGTACATGACTTGCAGGAAGTTTTCCAGCTTTCAAATTCTGTCATTTAGTAGATTAAATAAGGCCACAGTAGGTAAACACATTGTCATCCTGCAAAAAGCTTAGTATTTCTACTAAGATACCACTAAAGATTGATGAATAACACCTTTCCTCAACTTTAAAAAAAATAGTTTTCTTCAGCTTAAGCAAATAGTATATGGCAGGTTTGGTTGCCCTGCAGAGTTGGAGCAGATTTATTCTGGGATATTTTCTCTGTATTTTTGTATTCTTTAAATGAAAAGCACAATATAATCAGTCAAAAAATACTCTAAGAACAAAAACAAAAAACAACAAAAGAGAAAGTGAAACCATAAATCTTCTAACATATAGCACATACATCTGCTAAGCCTCTAACCAGGTATAAGGCGGATTTTTCACACATGCATAGGGTGGATTTAATAGAAGCTCATTAACTCACAGGGATACTATCGACAGCTAAATATGGAGGTGCAGGTCAGCTCGCCAGCTTACAGTGTCAACTTACATCCCCACATGCTGCATGTTGCTATTTTGAGCACATGCAGAAGAGTTCAAGCTGAAGCGCTTACAGTCAGCCTGGTTATGTTCAAGTACTGAATGAATATGCTTTTCTGAGTGTGTCACCTGCATTAGAAGTCGATTCAGGATTTAAGAGTGAGAGACATGGCTCCAAAAAAGGTGTGTTTTGTGAAAGAAGAAGGGTTTGATTTTAAAGGGAGCAAGAATCAGGGTTTATATGTACCGTAACGGTAAGTTTTGATTTTGAATACAGAAATTTACATGCTGTCTTCATTAGGCCAAAGGAGATGATGCACCAAAGCCACCACCGCTGATTGGAAGGTTTGGAACTTCTCTGAAGATAGGGATTGTCGGTTTGCCCAATGTTGGGTAAGATATAATGACATGCTCTCTACGTTACCATTAAATTATTTTCTATAATAGTACAAATATAAAGATTCGTCAATCAGAATATTAAAGGAATTCTTCATTTATTTCTAGAGTAAAACTTAAAATAGTTAAAGCTTTTGGGAAGAAATGTTTTTCAAAACAATGCATGCCCTTTCACAAATACAACAAGAAAGAATTGCACCTCATATTGTTGACAATGTTCCCTTAGTCCTTCAAAACTACAGCATTAAAAAGGCTAGTAAACATCAGAAGCCATGTGTTGCCCCAGCACATGTCTCTCCTTTCCTGAATACTAGATTCCTTGCTCTCCTGAACTGATTTTTTTGGCCACATGTGCTCCCTTCTTTGTTCAAATAAGATATCAAAGAGGTAACTCTAATAATATTTAGGATTATTTGGCAGGATTTTTGCAGCAGGTTTTCCTGATAGTATTTCTTGATTTCTAGTAAACAATCACATTAACCCGCAGCATGCACTTACACAGCATGCAAATATCTACTTCTGAGCTTGATACTTTATTGTTAACTTTATTGTTTAATGTCTCTTTTTCTGTTCCAAAACCTGCCTGTATCAAAGTCAGTGCAGCAATGCGTCCTGAGAAAAAGAAATTTAAATTGGTCAAGATTGGAATCAGAAGATAAGACCAAAGAAACTTTAACCTAATCGTATTGAACAGGAAAAAAAGTATTGTTTCATTACAGATTAGATGTTTTATTTGTTTTAGAAAACAATGTAAAAAATATAGTTTCTTTTGAATATGTTACTGTTACTATTTGTGGGATGCTGCTGTAAAAGGTTCAGCAAAAATTCAAAACGGTATTTAAGGTAGGGGCTATCTACTATAGGAGCTTTCTGCATTCAAAACAGCAGCGCCACCGTTGCCCATATTTGCCATTAATACAGGTGCACTGGGGAGCTCACATGATTTGGGTCTAAATGTGCACTAATGCAGAGGATTTTGTTTAATTTGTAATCTAGTAATTTTAATTAAATTAGCTTTAACAGCTTGTGCATTGCACTTTAGGGCTGAGAAATTCACAGTAAGAATAGAATTGTATTGCTCTAGGAGTGTCCCCAAGTTTTAAAATGAATAGAGGAATGCATTGGCAAAGACAGAGCTTTGGATAGCATAGCATGGGATTAGGTGCAACTACTTTGTAATTGCTACCTTCAATTTTTGAGTCTCATCTACAATGATTTTGTTCTGTCAACAATCATGAGTGCAATGAATTTTTAAGCTGTGGTAGACAGCCTAGCTTACCTGCTGGTCAAATTGTCTGTGTGTTTCAAGTGTTACAAGCATAATTAATCAGTGGCATTCTGCCTTTATATGGCACAAAAAATAAAGCAAAGTTTGATGGGATATAAGGTTAGAGTTGTGGCCATAACATCGATGTTTTCTATTGGTTTTGCAGAGGTCATCTACAAAGAAATATAGATAAAACACCTTGCAAAGAGACACGCCTAGATTTAATTAAACATGTTCAAATTGCATAGCTTGGGGCCCTTTAACCATCAGGGGCCTAAACTACTGTCCATGTTAACCATCAGTAAGGTCTTCCCAAGTGTGTGACCATCTTTGCAGGCAAGGATAGAGTCTCAGCTGCATTTTTTTCTTTGACTACAGGTCGGTCAGCTTTTAATCAGCTGATGGGATAAAAGGTTTTTTTTTTTTTTTATACAGAAAGAAGCTCAAAGTAAAAATAGTGTTAGTTTGAAGGTTCTTTATAGAACGACCTAAGTCACTACGACTTTTTAAAACAAGAATTTGACAGGTCAAGGGTGTGCTTTTGCAGTCATTTAACTCTGGTTTGGATAGTGGTTTCCAGCGGAGGGAAATATTACATACAGCTCCTGTTTCCTACAGATGTCTGTTCATGCGGTGTAAGTTGGTAGCATGCAAAGTTTTGGAGGTTTTGCAAACAGATCCCTCTGCAGTGCTCAGTGTTTTCATTTCTCACTCAAGCAAAACCTATCTTCCTCATGTAAGATGTAAAAGTTGAGAAGTTGTGGCCTGCCACTACATATTTCTGTCAAAGTAGAAGCCGTCCACCCTCCGACTTTCTCTTCATGAATGAACTGTGTTCAGATCCAAACCAGCTGTTTGTTGGGTGTAATTTAACATGCCTCACACTTAGGAAACTGTCTGACTTTATATTTCATGAGCTGGAAGAACTCTATTCCCGTCTATCTTGCTCTTATAGAACACAAATACCAAACTGCTTTAACTCTCTCTGCTACATGAGCTCAGAAAGATAGTGATCATCTTCTTTTGGTTAAGCGTCAGTGTTATTTGACACATACAATGTCACATTGGTGAAGGATTTCTAATGTATCCTCCTAAAATCAATTACTTATGAGAAGTCTTCTAAACTAATATTTTTTTATTAAAAACATTAATAAAGAGAAAGCACAACTTAAACTAGTTGCTTTTTCACAGGATAACAAAACAGTGAAATAATATAAATCGATATATTGTGATATTTGCAAATGTTACCATTCTGATTTCCACTGGTTAATTTAGATTGGAAGTTGTTCATTTTAGAAAGATAACAAGTAACTCCTTAAATTATGACATTTTCAGTTAAGAGATGCAGTTATGAAATGTGAATCTCAGGCTGTTTAGGCAAATAATCCATGCATCATCTACTTAAACATGTTCGTTTACTTTAGCACAGTTGTTTAATATTAAAAGGGAAGGACATGAAACATTTGTGTTTAAGTAACTAAATATGCTTATGTAGATGCAAAAGATGCATGAATTATTTTGCTCTGTGGCCAGGACTAGTTAGACCTGGGTCGACATAGCCGCACCTGTGGAGCCTGGCTTAGTCTTTGTGGAACAGATGTAGCCAGGATGGACTCCTAACGCTAGGTCCAGTCTGGATTTATCTCTTATCCTGGAATTTCTGAATTCAGCTTTTGTGAAACAGACCCCAGCATACTTCAAGAGACAAAGAGGTCGATCACAGATTAATTGATTCAGAAAACAATAGGGGTTTGACTATTGACCTAAAAAAAAAACAGTGGAAGCTGAAATATACATATCTTGAGGTTAATAGATTTATATTCCTTTTTTATCCTAGCATTCAGTCTCTCTTTGGTGAGGTAGTTTAACTAATTTGCTTCAAAGTGTTAGACTTTGGATCAATACCGGGGTACATAAAAATCACATCTGTTCAAGAATTTCTTTTTGAATATAAAGCCTTATTCATCTGGCATGCAACATTGTAGAATCCCTCCTTGATGTAGTTCCTTCTTCTGCAGCCTGGGTTTTTCAGCATCTCCAACTGCTTGCAGGAACATACCAATTATAGAAAATCTGAGCCCATTAATGTTCATGTATGTAACATTCAGGGCACGGCTCCGTTCTGTGCGGTGCTGAACTGGGACCCAGCAGTCTGTACAAGCAGCAAATGCCGTCCCAAGTAAGCAGTAACGAGGTTAGTTACCATGTAAAATTCAGTTAAAAGAAGTGGTAGGTAATCTAAAGATATTAAGGGATTTAACTGATGGGCCATTGTTTGGTGCATCAGTTGGTCTGTGATCAACCAGTCTTTTAAAGAAAGCTAGGGATTTGCGTTCATCAAAACCTGCTGCTTGTTGAGCCTGGCTAAGCCTTGGTGAAATAGCTAAAGACAGGAGGCACTAATCATGCTAAGTTAAGCCTGGATTTATCTCTTATCCTTGATTTCTAAATTCTGCTTTTGTAAAACATCCCACTGGACTGCACTTTGAATAAAAACAACAATAATAGCAAAAACGCTGTGTAAGAATGGTCAACGTCTTCCCATACTTGGGTTAAAACCATAATGATAATGTCATTATGGTTTTAATAATGAATGAATGTTCTAGGTATAACAGCGCTTTTATCATAATCATTACTTCAGTTAATATTTGAAATAATTTCATTGCTTTAAATAACAGTTTAAAAAAATATAGAAAATCTAAAATAAAATAGGTGATGTGCTTTTACCTGTTTGTATTTTATCCAGAGAAGCCAGAAAACAAGAGCAGCAATCAAACCTGATTTGAATTGCGTTTCAAGTACTCTAAATGTCAGATTGTTATTGTATTTGAAAAAGCTAATTCCTAAGAATCACATCATAAAAGTTTACATTCAGTTGATCCCAGTAAGGATTGTCTTGAATGTGGAAGTACATTAAGAGGTAAAATTGAGGGATTGTTATGAACGAGTTTGGTTTTTAGTTTCTAAGAAGAAGGCAGTTTTGCATTTCACCATTTCATCTTCTTTCTACCGTTGATGGTCCAACTTTTTCAGATGTCCTGACCTCAGGGCTGTTGTTGTTTTCAGGAAGTCAACCTTTTTCAACGTGCTGACAAAGAGTCAGGCTGCAGCAGAAAATTTCCCCTTCTGCACCATTGACCCAAATGAAAGCAGAGTGCCCATTCCAGATGAACGCTATGATTTCCTCTGCCAATTCCACAAACCTCCCAGGTATGGGGTCTCATCCTTCACGCATTATTCACACCTCACATTTGTAGCCGCTAAGGGCCACTATGCTATAGGTATGAAAAATCACACAACAGTGTTGTTGATATGTAGCTATATCATGTCCTCTGTGAGATATTCAATTTATGCTATTCTATTCTCCTCTCAAAGAAAAGAAAAATCAAAGGCCTCGTCACAAAGCACATCTATAGAGGCTGTTTAAGCAGATAGATTTCAGTTATTCAGGCTACAACATGATCTAGGCAACATATAAAATACATGATAAATTGTACGTCGTAAGCATCATATCTGAAGAGCTTTGGAAAAAAAAAGTTTCTCAAAAGCTACCAGCCTGTCTACAGCATACTACTATAGAATATTGGCAGTATTTTATATATATATATATATATATATATATATATATATATATATATATATATATATATATATATATATATCAGGGTAAATGAATATTTAATAAATCAATGTTTTCAAAAAAAACATTATTTTTTTCAAAACCAGATTTAGAAATTATATGAGTTTATTCAATTTTTGGTTAATCTAAATATAACATATTCTCCCAGTATTTTACGTGCCTGTCTAGATTTTCTGCAGCTGACTTCAAACGCTTCAACCTGCTTCCTCTTCAGCAGTGGAGGCTCGTGAGCAAGGGTGCATAGAAAGTATTACAATTGTTTTCAGGCCTTCTTAGAAAAGTCTTTTGATTATATTTTGTCTTATCAGAGTTAATAAGAGCGACATGACTGGTTCATTGTGAAATTTTGTTCTTCTCTCTTCTGGATTATTACTCAAACAGCATTAGCACAAACAATAAAAATTTCAGAGGTGCAGCTGTTACTACTTGCTTTACTATGATTTGCAATGTAAAGGTTTTTATATATCCCCGGCAAATCGACTGAGTAAACGTGCACATGTTTTTAAATTGCTAGTGAAGCAAAATAATTCACAACTCCTTCAAATTGGATTATACAATATTTCATTTCATTTAAGAGGTTTGTTTTATGTAGTAAATGATTTAGGTTGTTAAATCAAGGAAATAAACATTAAGTCTAAAAAACGTCACATACCTACTTTGCAGCACGTAGGTGGAGGTATCATGCTTAGATTCTTTGCTGTGGCAGGTTCTGGACAGCTCCTAAATAATTCCACTACGTGCAGAGGTGGGCGGAGTACCTCAAATTTGTACTCAAGTAAAATTAACACTACTTGAACATTTTTTTACTCAAGTAAAAGTAAAAAGGATTCGTCCAATAAAGTACTCAGGAGTAAAAAAGTATTTAGTGAAATGGATGCTGTAGCGCTAACTGATCAGAACATCCGATTTAATGTTTTTAAAACGATGTAATTTTAAAAAACATATGAAATTATTTGCAAAATTTTGAAAATGAGATAATTTATTTCATTCCTACTGTGTCATTTGGAGGTCAAGTGAAAATACAGCAAACAGTTCACTGTATAATGTTACAGGAAGTAACTTACCCCTATTTTACCCCATATACATAAAACTTAATAAATATAAATATATATTCATATTTACTTAGTTTTATCATAAAATCTGAGACCATGAAATAGGTACAAAGATCAAAAAAGCAGAAATGTAGGAAGTGATTAAACTGTAAAAGATATTGTAAGAGAGGAATCTACATAGCACTTTTTTTGAGAGAACATTAAACAGATGTGGAGAAGTTCATAATTAATCTTTTTTCCTTTATTTTTGTGTTTTAGTAAAATCCCAGCATTTCTCAATGTTGTGGACATTGCTGGTCTGGTGAAAGGTGCCCATGTTGGCCAAGGCCTGGGAAATGCCTTCCTATCCCACATCAGCGCCTGCGATGGCATCTTCCACCTGACACGTGAGTCACACTTTACTTCATTATACAAGACCTCACATAATCAGAAATAACACATATATCAAAGAGTATTTAGAAAGCTTGTAGCCATACCAACCAACCTAACAGCAGCAAAATGTTCATGGAAGCTAACTTTAATTTAGTCCTATAACTTTTTAAATGTTATAGGACTAACAATCTTAAATGCATAGGAAGGTCTGTACTAAAGCAGCCTTTGGTATTTCACTGCAGGTTTGCAAAGCTGTTATAAAGTAAGCTCAATCACAGTCTTATAAGGTTGAAAAATACCATCAGTAACAAGTATGAGATATTTTTGGGTAAAGTAAATGTTTTTTTGTTTCTTTTTTTTTTCCATTGTCACTTTTTAAACTCATTCTGATGAATATTTTCGTAATTGACTTTTGGTTTATGCTTCTCCTTAACCCTTGAAGTTATGATTAAGAAGTAACATTTTTAAACCTGCTGTATTTAGTACTAAATCAGAGCAGAGGAGGTAAGTGCTTGATCATATTGTGATTTTTTTTTCCATTTATCTCTCTAACAATTCTAACATCCACTTTTATTTACTTTGTTTGCAAATATTGCTTTCTGCTGTGGCAGACTTAAAATCATTTTCTGTGTTTGTTCTCGCCTCTACCTCTTTTTTGTGGTCCAATTAAAGTGTTACGAGCTAGAACAATTCACATTAGAGAGAGTAAAATGAAGAAGAAGGTCCTTTTAGAAAGACATCACAGAATTTGTTTACTGATTGTATTGACTTCCCTCCTGCATGAAAAGAGCTCTGATTGGAGCTGGTGAGACAGCAAACGTAGAAAAATGTTTAAGATGCAGTCATTGTTCTGCTTAGGCTATCACAGACATATTGCATCTATTGCAGTAAAATTATCTTGTTTTTTTATTCGTCCTCACATTTTCAGATACTAATTTATAAAAGAAGTACAAGATTTAATAACGAATTACAGGGTCTGTCAGGTGAGATTAACTGGTGCCTCTTGAGTTGACAATGATGTTTCCTGTCATAAAAGTCACACAATAGAATTCATGTTTTTTTTAATTATTCTTAATCATAAGCAGATGCCAAAAATATGATTGACTTAACAACTTAATAACTTAGCTATGATGTCTGTGGCTTTTTGGGTCACTTTTAGGTCCTTTTGCTCATCCATGAAACACAGCAACCATGAATGAATGAGTAAACAGCACAGCCAGGGTTTCTACAGAATGATTTATGGTATTGCTCTGTCATAAAACTGAAGAGTTATTATTTAATTTAAAAAGAGAGAAAAAAAATCAGAGCTTCCCTGTTGCCTGAGAATGTTAGGTTATGCAGTCACAAGAAAAAAAGAGTGCATCCTCTTTATGTTCTAGGTTACTGTTGTACCAATTATTCAAACCCCTATTATGCTTGTTAGGATTTTTGACATAAACCAGAATTACCAAAATGTTACCAATTAACAAAAGTTTAAAAAGTAAAAAAAAAAAGACTATGCTTTTTTAAATCCAAATCCGGCACGATGATCTCAGGTGAACTTGATACATAACACCTCTAATGTCAGGGCTGCTGACGTATGGCAGTCAGGAGAAATTTCTAAAAGTTTAAATTGGCCTTGTACACACAGAAGAAAATTTCAGCAGAGGACTTGTTAGCACCTTCTGAAAATGATCATAAAATTCCATAACTTTGGGTTACTTCCCTGATAACAGGTAGATGTGCTACTGATTACCTGTGTGGTTAAACATATTATTTAAAGCCTGACTTCCAGCAAAAAAACAAACAAACAAAAAATCTACAGGCCCAATTAGACAATGGGTTTATATTTTAAAAAAAGGCCTAGAAGTGTTGAAGTAGAGAAGTCAATATATTGGGGGTTTTCAGTGTAACAATCTTATGGAATAAGGTGATTTATGGATCATAATAATGACAAATATCACTGCCAGAGAACCTGGATGAAAAGGCATCCATTAATCACTGAATAAATGAACAAATAAAAAAATTATTAGGTGAATCTCATGGAAAGTGATGTTGAATTGTGTGTTAAACCAATTGGAAAAATTAAACAGTCTAAAAGCTTTTAAAGTTACAGAACATGACAGTCCAGTCATCTTCTATAGTTCAAACTGTGCTCCTGAGCATGCTTAGCTGGCCCAGAGTATTGATTCAAAGAATAAAGGCAACAGTTGCTTCTAAGAGCATTTTATTTACTTTATGCTACGTTCAGACCGCAAGCGCTGGAAGCAGCAAAAAAGCTTCTGCTTCATTTTTGATGCTTGTACACATGGAAGAAATTTTGATTTCAGAAATTGGGGGGATGATATATATATATATATATATATATATACCGTAATTCTAAGTTCAGCGTGTTTGACCATCCAATCACAGATCAGATTCAGTGGCGCATCAGATGTTTGTAAAGTGAGTTTCTCATTAGTGACAGCGGTGACACCCAATTACACAAGAAAAGACATTCGGCCAATCAGGAGCTCTTGGGCAGTTTAAACTCCGGAAAGCGGGCTGCAGCTTGAGCTGTGATTTTCCGCTTGGTGCTAGTGCTCACTTAATGTCTGTGTACTGTAGTGTAACATTGTTTTTGGACAGTAAAATGTCCAGGGGACCAAAACGGAAAGACACGTACCCCTGGTCCACTCCCAGTATTACGTCCATGCTTGTACACATTAAGGTCAGACGGGCGTAAGGAGCAGTTTTGATATTCCTGAGGATTGTCCAGTTAAGTGTGTCCAGATGCGTCTGATGTTCCTGCGTTCAATTTCAGACAGGGGTTTTGCTATATTTGCTGTTATAAGTGGGTAAAAAGTAGTTTTGATATGTTTTTAAGTGAGAAAGTCCACCTGAAAACTTCATCTGTGCAGTCAGTTTATCAAGATAATCCTGCTTTTAGTTATTATTTCGCTATTGGAGCCGCTCAGACACCCATACAATGGTGGTGCTGTGTCCTAGGAAATCCCGATCAACGGCAGCCTCTGGCGCGGTCACCTTTTTGCGTTTTTTCCGCTACTGTTTGTGGTGGCTGGAAGGCATTTTTCACATATGTTATCCAAACTGCAGGCACCAGAATAATAAAATCTAGCATATTTTCCGGCAGGTTTTGACATTTTAAGCTAATTTAGGCGTTAATAAACGGTTTTGTAGGAGTGATCATAGTGCTCTGCATTAGCAGTGCTGTGTCTTTCACCCTGCCAGCCTCAGATCAGCTTATCTGATTGGTTGATGTGGCGCATTGAGCAGCAAAAGTTACATTTTCCCAACTCCAACAGCTGCTGCTTTTGCAGCGCGTCCTGCGTTTCACATATTCAGGAACTCACGATACGCTGCTCCTGCTGCTAAAAATGCACTGCAGGACCTTTTGCTGTGCCTTGATGGACGTCAACCGTTGACCTTGCATGTAATGCAGCTGCTTCCGGTGCCTCTAGGGCGGGCAGTCTGAATGTAGCATACAACTTAATCCTTTAACAAAGAGAATCTCTACAGCTTTCCATACTAGCCTTTTATTTTCTGAACACATCATCTCTGATACCATAACCTATACCTCTAAGCAAATCTCGATTTGTTTTTATGTAGGTAATGGTCAAAGTCAGTTTAAAGATATGATAATTGTGCAATGAAAGATTCAACTGAAAGGACTCACTTCATAGCTCTTTTTCAACAAGGAAAAGGCTGTTAAGATATTACTGCTTCCAAATGAGAACATATTTTTACCACACATGAAATTATAGTTTACTTATTGTTGTTTTATATTTGATCAGGGTCTTTTTCTGGTAAGAAACACTCTTTCTAATTGGTTTCAAACTTTCCTTTGTTTGCATCCCAGTTACTATACAAAGTTGATCTTCTTGATTGATATTATGGTATGCATTACAGTCTATACAGTAGCATTACTTAAGTTGAGTTATGGATATTTTATATCCTCTATTGTAAATGCGGTCAGAAGGACCCAGTTTGTTTTTGAGTTTTTTTTGACCGAGGGACAAATGTATATGCCAGATCCTCACCCCAAAACCAACTCTTTTGTTTCCTCTCACTCCAAGATGGCAAACAAACTGATCGGAAATAGAAATCGAAAGCTTCTTATGTGCAGTTATCTGCTCTGGCATGCTATTGTTTCCACACTTGTCAAGTCTTTAGAAACGACGCGGTTTGTTTCACAAGTTAAACATTCAACAACGCAGCTTTGGGTTTGTAATTATATCTGTCTGTGCAGAGTGCTGCACTGAAGCCTCTCCTTTTATATAGCTTGATTATATGCCTCAGAGAATCACACTTCTTGTCTCTTGAGTGTTTTTGTGTTAGTTGTTTTGTTTTTTGCAGAAACATTTACATGTTATAGAGTTTTATTTGAAGCTCATCTCTATTATCTGACAGTTTTTACAGAAGTTAAATTATATTGACCTGTAACTCTAAAAAAGATCTATGTATGAAAGAAGTCACATTACTTTATTTAATAGTTTTTTTATGTTAATATAAATAAAAGAGCATTTAATAGGAGCAAATGTTTTGTTGCTCCAGCCCAGGACTGTGTAGTATTTTAGGTACATGTTTTTCCCCTATCTTTAAATAAAAAAAATTTAACCAGAAAAAACATTTCACGAAAGAATAGACGAAAGAATTAAACACATCCCTCAGACTCCCTCACCCAGCAAAACTTTAATCAAAGTGAAAACCATTACATCTTGGTGTGTCTTCAGTTCAATCAGCCTATTAGCCTATACCTCAAAGTTATTATATGTTCAAGTATTAATCCTTTGTGGTTCTAAATAGGTTTGTACAATTAATCGTAGACCCACACTGACTTTATACACCATTTTTGTCAGTTTTGTAACAACTTCTCTTAGAGTTTATCATATTTAGCAGTTTATAATTTTCGTAGTGTATGATTGAGGTATATTTTGTATTTCTTTTTATCTATTCGACATTTGTCAGTTTCCTAGTTTATTCCATGTTCTTTGTAAATTAGGGTTTTCTTTTATTTGATTTTTTTTTTTTTTTT